CCAAGTCAAATGTTGAACTCCGTGTTACAGGGCTTGTCAAGCGAGCTCAGGCTCAGACTTAGCCAGAAAGCAAGTTGTCACAGGAGAGGGATTTTAAAAATATAAAATATAAAAGTCGAGTTCACCTGCTGCTAGGCAGGCGAAGTTTTTGACAACGTTGACAGATGCCGCACTTGGATAATGACACATCCTGCAGTTATCACCACGGCATACTCTGTTGCCGGCTCCGAAACCAACAAGTGGAAAGTTGCCTGAGAGAGAATAGGGCCTTTGGATTGAAAAGGGTTCCCCCTCCTTGCTCCGTTCTAAAGAGAAGGACCCTATAAAACAATTAAGTCCCAAGTCAAAACATACTTCAGTGCCAGTGGCGTAGCTTGGGTTGCCAGAGCCCAGGGCGAGGCAAGTATTGCACTCCCTGATCTAACACTGTCCGAAGCCTAGGGAGGTTAGTGTTATGTACTGAAGTTCTCACCCTGGGCTAGCAGGGGGATACTGTAGATAGTTTTCACTCAGGTCCACATATGCAAAAGGGATTGAAAGTGACGTTCAGTGATTGGATAGTTACAGAAAATTGTTACAGTTGCGTGGTAGTGGAGCACTATATAAGCAGGCTGGCTGAACCCTTCAGTTCAGTTCTGTTCTGGCCTGTGAATAAACAAGAGCTGTTTGAAGAATCGCTGCGTTGTCTGATATGTTCACCCACAACTTAACAGTTAGGGCCTAAGGCATGACCTGTATCAGTGACCCCCGGGGGAGCTCCTAGTTGATGTGCATCAGCAGGACTCCCTCTACTGGTGGTTAACTCCCAATAGATGGGCTGGAGTCAGACAGTCGGTTAGATCCAATGCCTAAGCCAATACCACTCATCATCTATAACCAATAAAGTTGTTGTCTTTTTTAGCCCATTAACCTTAAATATTTTACTCATGTGTCTTTTTTCAACAGGGGGGTGGGGTCAGGACCTTCCCACGCAACATGGTTCTCTTGTTTTGAAAGCTGTCCCAAGGAGACTGATTAATATATATGCCCACAGGCAAGCTACCAGCTACTTAACATGGCCTTCTGAGGCAGCATTTTGTGGACATACTGCATTACCTGAAATTAAAGCCGTGGACTTAATTGAAATTTACAGTCTTCGTAGAGTTTTGGGTCATTCCTTCTTTAAAAACGACCTGTGCGAAAATCAATTTAAATAACCTGAATTCCAGGTTCTGGGTGTTTAGTAGCTGTTAATTCAAATGTCTTGCCTATCCAGAGGAACATTTAATTTAACAGCTGATCATTAGAAGCTCCTATTGTCCTCAGCTCTTCTTTAAATAATAGCACCCAAATGTAATGAGGGACAGTCAGAGCTGGCCAGGTTCGCAGACAAAAAGAAGTCGCCTTGTTGTGATGAAGTTGTGTTCTGGTGAAGCTACAGAGACATCTGGTGGCCATAGAATAGCAAAACACAATAAAACTTTGCACTAGAAAACTGTGGATGCAGGCAGAGGTGCATGGATGGATGCAAACACAGACATATATTTCCCAAACAGTACACATACAGAAAGACAGCGATAAATCAAAACTTTTCTCTTCTCTGAATTTTGCAACACAGTTTAAAAATGCATATGCTAGGGCAACTTTTGCATTAAAATCCCTATATCAGGAGTCAGCAACGTGCAGCCCATGGGCAGGATGCGGCCCACTAAGACTGTTTTACTGGCCCATGAGCCGCCCCCGAACCGAGCCTCCCGCTCGGCGAGTCCCCCGCGCACTGCTCTAAACCAGCACAGAGCATAGCTGTCAACTTTCAGATTTGAAAATAAGGGATCAGCAGCCTCACCTGCCCGGGGACAGTCTACGGGATATCTAACAATCCGGGATAGCAGTGGGAAGCAGCGGGAAACGGCGCTGAAATAAGGGAATTTCCCGCAAAAAAAGGGAAGATCGATAGCTATGGCACAGAGCGGCACAGGGACTCGCCAAGCAGCACCGGAAATCATGTCTGCGCATGCACAGATGCTGAAAATCGCTTCTGCGCAGGCACGATTTTCAGCATCTGGGCATGCACAGATGCGTTTTCTGGCATCGCGCTGCGCCAGTCTGGCCCACAGATGATCTCTGTGGGAGTGATCCAGCCCATGGCCGGTAAACCTTGCCAACCCCTAGCCTATATGAGTGAAACTAGCATAAATTGCTTCGCGCATATATATATATGCATGTATATATAGAGAGAGAGAGAGTAGCTGGCAGAATCGCATGCAAAAATGTGTATACTGAGAGAAATTTGCACTAAAATGCTGGTGAATCTTCACAAAGACTTTTTAAAAGGCATCTGAAAACTGATGTGACAATGTAGAGAACTGAATGTAAGACTAGGAAAACGAGAAACGGAGTGAAACCAAAATACAGTGGTACCTCAGGTTAAAAACCTAATTCATTCCAGAGGGCCATTCTTAACCTGAAACTGTTCTTAACCTGAGGTACCACTTTAGCTAATGGGGCCTCCGGCTGCCGCCGTGCCACCGCCACACAATTTCTGTTCTCATCCTGAGGTAAAGTTCTTAACCCGAGGTACTATTTCTGGGTTAGCGGAGTCTGTAACCTGAACCGTCTGTAACCCGAGGTACCACTGTAGACAGATTTGCCATTCCCAGATGGAGAAGAGTGTGTACAGCAGGTTCACGCCAGTTTTAGAGGGGAACCTCCAGCACTAGGACCTGGAGACCTGTGTGTGCTCACCTTCTGCACAGATGAAAAGATGACACCTTGAAACCCAGACGACATAATTGGCTGCTCTGCAAACACACCATCAAGAGCGTTATCATCTTATCAGCCATAACCTAAGAGCAGTCAAATGGCTGGCTTTGTCCTTCTGAAAATCCCCTTCCATATCTAGAGGCAAGCAATGTAGCGGCAGATACCAATTAGTCTGAGTCAGGAAGGCCTCCTGACTATGGGCAGGTGGTATTGCAAGCATGTTGTGTTTGCAGTACATTAGTGTTGCACCTATGCTCAAAATGCCCTGCTTCAGTCAACTTTACAGGTGGTGATAGAAGTAGACTCTGGGTGTCTCAATGTTCGTCCCATAAGTAACAGGACTTCCGACAGCCAAATGCTCAAATTTAAAGTTTCTAATGGCTGCGGGTTAAACCACAGAGCCTAGGACCTGCTGATCAGAAGGTTGCCGGTTCGAATCCCTGCGACGGGGTGAGCTCCCATTGCTGGATCCCTGCTCCTGCCAAGATAGCAGTTTGAAAGCACGCCAAAGTGCAAGTAGATAAATAGGTACCGCTCCGGCAGGAAGGTAAATGGCATTTCTGTGCGCTGCTCTGGTTCGCCAGAAGTGGCTTAGTCATGCGGGCTACATGACCTGGAAGCTGTACGCCGGCTCCCTTGGCCAGTAAAGCGAGATGAGCGCCGCAACCCCAGAGTCGGTCACGACTGGACCTAATGGTCAGGGGTCCCTTTACCTTTTACTAATGGCTCTGGACAAATGTTGGGAACCGTCACACGAAAGGATGGACCATGGCTAACTTTTATAGCTGTAATTTGGAATGGTTTTGAGTTTTTAAGCAGTCTGGGAGGTGAGTACAGTCATACCTTGGGTTAAATATACTTCAGGTTGAGCTCTTTCAGGTTACACTCTGCGGCGACCCAGAAGTAACGGAGCACGTTACTTCCGGGTTTCGCTGCTCGCGCATGCGCAGACACTCAAAATGACGTCATGCGCATGCGTGGAAGTGGCGATACGCGACCCGCGCACGTGCAGACTCGCAGACGCATGTTACGCTCTACTCAGGATGCGAACGGGGCTCCGGAACGGATCCTGTTCGCATCCAGAGGTACCACTGTATCTTAGAAATGTAAAGCTTCTTGCTTTACAAACCATACAAGGTAAAGGTAAAGGACCCCTGGACAGTTAAGTCCAGTCAAAGGCGACGATGGAGTGCAGTCTCATCTCGCTTTTCAAGACAAAGCTGTCCACAGGCAGCTTTCCAGGTCATGTGGCCAGCATGACTAAACAGCTACTGGCGCACGGAGGTCCGTGACTAGTGCCAGAGCGCATGGAGATGCTGTTTACCTTCCCATCACAGCAGTGCCTATTTATCTACTTGCACTGGTGTGCCTTTGAACTGCTAGGTTGGCAGGAGCTGGGATTGAACAACGGGAGCTCACCCCATCAAGTGGATTCGAACTGCCAACCTTCCGATCAGCAAGCCCAAGAAGCTCAGCGGTTTAGACCACAGCGCCACCCTATTCAAACCATACACCTGTTAGTATTCCATGCCTCCGATGCTGCAGATGAGATTGTAGTAAATCACATGCCTGTCTGAGAAGAGCGTGAGAAATGGAAGACAGTCTTATTTCTTCCGCTGTAATGTACTTTCGCTTTCATTTGTTTTGTTTTGTTCTCTCGGAGCTGAAGAAAACAGACGCCATTATGCCTTTGTCTGTATATAATGTGTAAATAAATAGTAGATCATAGTAGACCTATGATGTCTCGCTCTTCTTGCTGTGTTGTGCCAGAAGATTAGTGTGCATTTATCAGCTGTATATGTCGCTGAGCACACTGGAGAGGAAGGAAAATGCCTTTCCAGGGCTGCGCATACTGGAGGATGATGAGAGATTCGGGGGCTTATAGGCACCCCCAGGGCATTTTTCCAATAACACCCACCGCTAGGATCACAGGTCAGTTGTAGCAGCAAATTTATTGGGTTTTGCAACTTCCTCTGAGTAAGCAAGCAAGAGTATACTATCCTTGGTAAACTGGAGATGATAAAATGCCATCATCCCTGTTGTGCAACTGTCTCCCAATTAAAGATCCCCTCCCCCAACCGTGCTTCTGTCAACACACATGTAACATTCAGGTTCATGAAAACACATAAATAACAACACGGGCAAGCTTTGTAATGCCTTGCCACTTATTTGTCATTCTTTATTTTGATCATTCATATAAACCACTTAATTGCAATCTTCGCTAAGCAGCATAGAGCGAGCTTAACTAATAGAGATAAAATTAGTTGAAAAACTAACAATACAGACACTGAATCAGTAAAAAGCAAACTATAAAAATCAGAAATAGCCTTATAATGCCTGCTGAATGTGAGGATCAGAGGTCTCCTAATAACTCTCAGCACTCTTGACAAAATACACACAGGTCCCACAATCCACTTGCTTGCTATGCGAAAATTCACTTATCCGAATGTGAAGAATTCTGCCCAAACCTTGATGTACACTCCAAAAATTCAGATATCCAAATAGCCAGAATTTGCCCACTTCCTTACTTCCTTGTTTGCTTCTGCCTTGCTGTTCAGCTGCAGCCATTTTCAGTAAGAAACCATGCAGGCAGGGAGGGATGGAAACTGGACCAAACAGAGAGCAGGAGAGATCAGACAAACCTGTTTTTCCTTTGTCTCTCTTTTGCTGGTTGGCTGCAGCCATTTCAGGAAGAAATCATTGAAGACAGGGAGGCAGCAACCAGACAAATCCGAGATTACAAAGGTTTCCATGGGAATCAATGGGAATCGTGGACTCGTTATGCAAACACTCGCCCAATGAACACTTTCCAGGGAACCCACTGCATTGGTAAGGGGGACTTGCATGTACAGCTCCCAGGATCCTTTGGGGGAAGCCATGACTGTTTAAAGTGGCATGATACTGCTTTAAATGTGCAGTGCAGATGGGGCCTTAGTTTTACTCACAGTAGACCCATTGAAATTATTGGACCCAAGTTAACCAAGTCTATAGCCAATCAATCAACCTTTTTATTCGACCGTCAGTCAGAAAAAAAAAAAATTGTCAATACACAGTTAAAACATCCAGGAAGATTTTAGAACTTAGCCAACACTAAAATGGGCTAAACAGATAGCCCCAAGTCTATAGCTGGTACCCATTGGAAATGGTAGGATGAAAGGCAGTGAGCCAAAGCCAATGGCAGGTAGAACCAAATTCAAGTTTCATCCTCATTCTCCTCCTTGTTCAGTTATCTCCCACTTGGACTACCGCAATGCACTCTGTGTCAGGTTACCTTTGAAGGTGCCCCAGAAACTACAACGAATCCAGAATGTGGCAGCTAGACTGGTGACTGGGAGTGGCTGCCAAGACCACAAAACACTGGTCCTAAAGGATCTTCACTGGCTCCCAGTATGTTTCCGGGCACAATTCAAAGTGTTGGTGCTGACCTTTAAAGCCGTAACGGCCTCGGCCCAGTATACCTGAAGGAGCGTCTCCATCCCCATTGTTCAGCCCAGACACTGAGGTCCAGCTCTGAGGGCCTTCTGGCGGTTCCCTCCCTGTGAGAAGTGAGGTTACAGGGAACCAGACAGAGGGCCTTCTCAGTAGTGGCGCCCACCCTGTGGAACACCCTCCCACCAGATGTCAAGGAAATAAACCACTACCTGACTTTTAGTAAACATCTGAAGGCTGCCCTGTTTAGGGAAGTTTTTAATGTTTGATGTTTTATCGTGTTTTTAATATTCTATTGGGAGCCGCCCAGAGTGTCTGGGGAAACCCAGCCAGATGGGCAGGGTATAAATAAATTGTTGTTGTTGTTGTTGTTCTTATTGTCATTGTCATTGTTAGAAAAGCAACACTGAGGAGGAAAGTGAGGCCATTGTAGGTAAAAAGGAAGCAGCACAGTGGGGGGCTGGCTGAGGGTAGAGGTTGGCGGGGACAATGCCCCATTTGTCCTAATAGACTAGCCTGCACTGCTTGCCCATTATTTTCAATGGACCAACTCTGAGAAAAAGAGCACTGTAGAATTAGCTTCCTATCCGCAGTTACCTGGGAGTGAGCCTCGTTGAATTTAATGGGACTTGTTTCCTAGTCGACATGGATTACACTGTAAATATTTCCCATCAATTAATCCAACCCAGCCATCTATTACTTGTTGCAGAGCAGGACAAAGCATATGTCAGTATTATACGAAGCCACAAATCTGCGTGTCTGTGGAGTGTGGGGAAAAAAAACAACAAGCAATCTCTTTCTATAAACAGACTTGCAAGGTTGCCAAGGACGAAAATGGAAGTGGTGGTGATGGAGTACAACAGGATTATTAATATCCCGGAACTCCATCTTTTTCACCAACCACAAGACCAAACTGCAGCTTTGCAGGAAGCTCCGAAGTATTTAGATTTAATCTGCAGACTAATGGGAAATTAAACTGGCACAGAAGGCTTAGCACTGATGCTAGCAAAAGGAGGGCAGGGGAGAGAATTTCCAAAAACAGATTGGCTTAGCAAAAAAAAACAGAGAGAGAGAGAGAGAAAGAGAGAGAGAGCGCATACAGCATCTGTGGGTTTGTTGAAACAAAATGCAGAAAGGGGCCTCTTCATGCTCCATTCTACTCTTCCTTGCTCAGATCACATTTGGGCTTTTCTTTGATTTTTAAAGCATTTTTTAATTTAAAAAAAATTGCCCTACTTGCCATACGTCCAGGTTTTCCTAGACATTTTGCCAATTCAGCAAAAATCCACCCGGACACCATTTTTGCAGCCCAGTTCCCAGATGTGTCCAGGAAAACCTGGACGTATAGCAGCCCTAGGCATATTGTGTCCAGTTCTGGGTGCCACAATTTAAGAAGGATGTTGACAAGCTGGAATATGTGCAGAGGAGGGTAATCAAGATGCTTAAGGGTCTGGAAGCCAAGCCTGATGAGGAACAGTTGAAGGAGCTGGGTATGTTTGGCCTGGAAAAGAGGAGACGGAGAGGAGATACGATAGCCATCTTCATATATCTAAAAGGCTGTCACATAGAAGACGGAGCAAGGTAGTTTTCTCCTGCTCTGGAAGCTAGGACCAATGGATCCCAAGTTACCAGAAAGGAGATTCCAACTAAACATTAGGAAACATTTTCTGACAGTAAGAGCTGTTCAGCAGTGGAACAGACACCCTCAAAAGGTGGTGGACTCTCCTTCCTTGGAGGTTTTTAAGCAGATGTTGGACGGCCATCTGTCATGGATGCTTCAGTTGAGATTCCTGCATTGCAGGGGGTTGGACTAGATGGCTCTTGGGGTCCCTTCCAACTCTATGATTCATGCAAATAGAGCCATTGTGTGGGGGGTGGAGGAGACTAGAAGCAAAAACCCTGTGTGATTTCTTGTCCCATTCTGGCTGAGTGGAGATGAGCTTGTAGGACACGAGAAAAGGGACACTGAGTAGTCATTGTAAATTTTGAAGGGGAGCAGCGGCCCCTAATATCTGGAAGTCGGCCTCTTTCCCTGGTGTTAAGAACAGAAAAGGGGCCCTCTTGGTAGTTTCTGGTCTCCTCCCACCCCTAGGGAAGAAATGGCAATGACTGTCTCCTGGCAGAGGTGGTTATAGGGTAGCATGAACAGAGCGTGAGAGGCAGAGGCACGCTGAATTTTAGAGTCGCACAGGGTGTTGCTGGAATTTGAGAGTCAAGTCCACCACTTCTCCTGGGCTTCTGCCTGATTCAGAAAAGGCCATTTTCCCCACCCCACTCACTTTGATTCCCACTTCAAGCGTTGAGTAAGGCTGATTTGATTTCCACCGTTGTTGTGGACTGGTTGGATGCAGAGGGATGGTGGGAGGCAGTAGCCGGGGAATAAAGCTTTTAGCCCAGAGATTGTTGGTGGGACGACAATAAGTAATCAGAGAGAGGAGAGGGAGGAGGAGGCGTCAGAATCAGAAGTGGTGGCAGGATTTAGTGGGTGGGAAGAGGCTGCGACAGAGAGCAGTTAATATCCCGAGGCAGAAGCAGGGGCTGGAGAGAGGTGGAGCCAGGAAATAGAGAGGCAGGCTGCTGAAGAATCCAGGGAGTCTTCCCCTTCTGCTGCGACCAGCTGCCCCCCTCCTTGGTCTCCTCACACAGAAATGAAATGGGCAGAGCAGAGGGAGGTTGCTGAGATCACTAGGCCAGAGCTGTGGTTGGCTCCCTTGAATAGAGTGTTGAGTTCACTGGCATGGGTGATTTATTGTGTTATTGATGAACTGAGCCTGATTCCAGCTCTTGACACTCCTTCTTCCCGATACAAACCTTTATCCGCCCCCCTTCCCTTGTTCCCGTTGTAGATCTTGACTTACCTCTTCTTCCCTGGCGGGGGACACCATTTTGCAGTTTGCCTCAGGTGTCAAAACGTCTTGAGCTGGCCCTGCACATAGTTTTCCAACCTTCAGCCATGGCCGAGTCTGATACAGTTTTACAGCCTCTGACTTCTGTTCTTGATCCAGGGAAAGGTTTTTGGGAAACCGTTTTGCTTCGCACCATTCCAAGAATGTTGTCCTAGAGGAACAATAGCAACAGTAACCCTGCCCTGGAGTTAGACTTGGCCTCTGTTCTGGCAGTCAAAAACCGGAGTTCTGTTCCATTATTCTTAGATGGACTTCTTTGGCACCCGGCCTGCTTTTAAACTGGCTTTTAATTCGTTCGTTTTCTAGGCAACATACATTAAGCTCAGTTGTCAGGAATGTTTGTTTGGCATCAGGGGTTTTAGCCAGAGGCATTTCCTTTCTAAATACAGAACTGTATTTGTACAGTGGTACCTCAGGTTAAGAACTTAGTTCGTTCTGGAGGTCCGTTCTTAACCTGAAACCATTCTTAACCTGAGGTACCACTTTAGCTAATGGGGCCTCCCATTGCTGCCACGCGATTTCTGTTCTCATCCTGAGTTAAAGTTCTTAACCGAAGGTACTATTTCTGGGTTAGCGGAGTCTGTAACCTGAAGCGTTTGTAACCCGAGGTACCACTGTACTAGGGTTTTTTTTATTTAAAAAAAAAAACCAAAACACAAATCTCACTTTTCAGCTTCCTAAACATGATTATATACAGTGGTACCTCGGGTTACATACGCTTCAGGTTACAGACTCCGCTAACCCAGAAATAGTGCTTCAGGTAAAGAACTTTGCTTCAGGATGAGAACAGAAATTGTGCTCCAGCGGCGCAGCGGCAGCAGGAGGCCCCATTATCTAAAGTGGTGCTTCAGGTTAAGAACAGTTTCAGGTTAGGTACGGACCTCCAGAACAAATTAAGTACTTAACCCGAGGTACCACTATATTCTTAGTCCATCCTCCATTGCAAACAATCAGTACACAATTCCTCCAAAATGCACAGGCTGTGATCGTTCCAAAAGACTCCCAAGGAGTGGCTGAAGTGACAAGAGCAGAACAGAGTTCATTGAAAGGAATTACAGAATCGCATGAAAGGTGAAAAGACACAGCCATGGAAGTTGAACCCACAATGCATTTGGCTTCCAGTTTGAAGGGTGGCTGCTGCCAGGCGCAACCACAGAACAGAAGCTTTTTGCTCTGTCTAGAAAAGTCGGAAGCAATGGGACGATACTTGCGTGTCGTGCAGTTAGTTACACCGCCTCTAAGTGGTGTATGAAAACTGAATACGGTGAAAATAAAATTATGACATCAGAATTCAGTTAAAATGACTGCTGGGTTGTTGTTTTTTACAAAGTTTTCAGTAGGCACTGGCTATACAACAGAGAGGAGGCTTGTATGATTTCAGCTGGGAGGGAGGTGGATAAAACCAGTGCCGGATTTACGTATAAGCTAAACAAGCTATAGCTTAGGGCCCCACTCTCTTGGGGGCCCCAAAAACATTTAAAGGGGAAAAAAACCTGGATGTATGTTTCAAAATATAAGATAAAAAACAAATAAAATAAAACCTACATACAGCAACAGGGTTTTGTGTTGTGTAGGCTCCTATGATGTAAGTAATGGGCCCCGCCTGCTAGCCTGCTCCCTAAAATATCACTGGTTTGCTCATTTCTATATCAATTACTTTGATAAAATACATATTTTTTTATGTGCAAATGGCTTTAGATACCTATTAGGTCCATAAATTACCATATAGCATATATTCAACACATACAAAAGTGACAATTTGTTGTTGACAAAGGATAGCTGGAAATAGAAAGGACCCCATTACCTTCAGTAGCTTAGGGCCTCATCAAACCTAAATCCAGCCCTGCATAAAACTGGTCCCACAATACTGAACGCAATACACCTCCAAAGTTGCACACACACCACATATATAAGGCACACTCCTCCTCAAGGAATCCTGGGAACTGTAGTTTGGTAAGGGTGCTGGGAATTGTAGCTCTGTGGAGGGTAAGCTTCAGTTCTCGGGGGGGAAATGTGCTTTAAATGTACCGTGTCGGAGTCTGCTGTCACCCTCTTCCTACAGTGCAGGAGCTCAAGTGATGTTGACCATAGAGAAGTACCGGTAGCTTTCTTTCCCGGAACACAACTAACTCAGCACGGCTGAAATTTCCAGAGCAGGCGAGAGAAGCTGGCACAGACCCGAGGCGAAAATAAAAAAATAAAATGCTTTCTCCATATTCCTCTCCACCCACCACCCAGCTTCATTGCCGGTGGTATTTGAACAAAGCGTTGTGTTTCATCTTCCACTCGGCTAGCTGAAAGATCTGTCCACAAAAGTCCCTTACAAAAAGGCAGAGGAAGGGGTGTAAATATTGCAATGGCAGCCATTTGTGTCTAAAAGGCACGTCCTCTGTCTGCTGTCACACACACCCCACCCCCGTCCCGAGCCCCAAACCAAAATGTCAGATGTGGTGTTGTGCGTTATTGTTGTGGGGCTGCCAGGAAGTGACAAGCAGTAAGTTATTTGGGACCGACTGCCAGAAAAATGTGCATAGGACCGTAGCCTAACTTTAGGTTTGCAAAATTAGGCTTGTGCACACTAGAAAGCACATTGTTTCTGGGCACTGTAGTTCCCTCCTCACAGAGTTACAATTCCAAGCTACCCTTCGTGAACTACAGTGCCCAGAATTCTTTGAGGGAAAGAATGTGTTTCAAACCTGCTTTAAAGGTATAGCATGTCTCTGTTGCTCTAGTGCAAAGTTTTCCAAACTTTTCATATTGGGTGGCACACAATTTCACGACACTGTAATTCAGTTTGCTAGCAAACTGGAGGTTAAACTAACCCCTTTCCAGTCCTCGGCGGAGCGTGGGGAGCATTTGCGCAACACACTTACACGCTGCGGCTGACACACTAATGTGTCTCGACACACATTTTGGAAAGCTCCGCTCTAGTGCAACAAATCTACTTTTTTATTTTATTTTATTTTAAAGGACTTGTTGCTGGTTGGAAAGCGACAGGAAAATGCACTGGAAAGTGTTGGGTGAACAAATGAGTAACAGGAAAGGTGTATAAACACCAAACCAGCAAATCAGGATGAGGGCAGTGGGAACAATTGTGGCTATATAACCATCCCACAAACAAATCAGAACAAAACTTGGTCCAGCATCACCTGATGCCTTATATCTCTGTCTGTTTACCAAGGTCTTTGGGGGAGTCACTGTTAGTGGTTCCCCATGGCTTGGACCAGGGGTCAGCAAACTTTTTCAGCAGGGGGCCGCTCCACTGTCCTCAGACCTTGTGGGGGGCTGGTCTATATTTGGGGGGAAACACACAAATGAATTCCTATGCCCCACAAATAACCCAGAGATGCATTTTAAATAATGTTGTTGTTGTTTAGTCGTTTAGTCATGTCCGACTCTTCGTGACCCCATGGACCAGAGCACGCCAGGCACTCCTGTCTTCCACTGCCTCCCGCAGTTTGGTCAAACTCATGCGGGTAACTTCGATGACACTATCCAACCATCTCGTCCTCTGTTGTCCCCTTCTCCTTGTGCCCTCCATCTTTCCCAACATCAGGGTCTTTTCCAGGGAGTCTTCTCTTCTCATGAGGTGGCCAAAGTATTGGAGTCTCAGCTTCCGGATCTGTCCTTCCAGTGAGCACTCAGGGCTGATTTCCTTAAGAATGGAGAGGTTGGATCTTCTTGCAGTCCATGGGACGCTCAAGAGTCTCCTCCAGCACTATAATTCAAAAACATCAATTCTTCAGCGATCAGCCTTCTTTATGGTCCAGCTCTCACTTCCATACATCACTACTGGGAAAATCATAGCTTTAACTATACAGACCTTTGTTGGCAAGGTGATGTCTCTGCTTTTTAAGATGCTGTCTAGGTTTGTCATTGCTTTATTTTAAATAATAGCACACATTCTACTCATGTAAAAACACGCTGATTCCCAGACCGTCTGCGGGCCGGATTTAGAAGGCGATTGGGCCGGATCCAGCCCCCGGGCCTTAGTTTGCCTGTCCATGGCTTGGACTGAGGCATAACTCAGGGGAATGGTGGAGCTTCATTCCGTTCACAAATTCTCCAAAAAACAACCACCACCAAAGACCCATTCCAAAGCTTTATACTAATTTAAAAACATAAGAACCTTCTGGATCCGGCCAATGACCCATCTAGCCCAGCATCTTGTTCTCACAGTGGTTGAACAGATGCTTGTGGGAAACCAGAGATCAGGATTCGAGCACATGAACACACACCCCTCTTGTGGTTTTCCACAACTGGTATTCAGAAGCACTGCTGCCCCCAGTTGTGGTGGCAGAGCCTAGCCATTGTGGTTCGTAGTTATCAGTAGCCCTCTCCTCCATGTTGTTTTCATCCGTCTCTTTTTTTTCTTTTCTTTTTTGATAACATTTTATTAATTTTCCAAAAATAGCAAAAATAAAAACAACAACAAAACAAAAACAAAGCAAATTGACTTCCCTCTAATTGTCCCTTCCTTGGTTCTATTATTTATCAACATACTGCATGTCCATCATTAAATTTAGAACCTATTTAAATTACCTATTATCCATTAATAACAAAATTACAAGTAATCTTAAAACCCTGCTAATGTATTAACAAAGATAACAAAGACAAAGACAACAGGCATATAAAATGAAGACAGGAGTGCCTAGCATGCTCTGGTCCATGGAGTCACGAAGAGTCGGACATGACTAAATGACTAAACAACAACAATGTATCAACCTGTGTACAATGCTTCTGTAAATATGCAATAAACATCTTCCATTCTTCCTTAAATTTGTTGTCGTCTCTTCCTCATTTTCAATTTTGCCATTTCAGCATATTCCATTAATTTAACTTGCCAATCTTCTTTAGCTGGGACACCTTCTTCCTTCCAATGTTGTGCTAATAAAGTACATGCGGCCATAGTTGCATATATAAACAAATTCTTTTGTGGTTTTGGGAAGTCCACTCCTGTAATACCTGGTAGGAAAGCTTCTGGGTGACAAAGGTTGTTTTAAACATCTTCTTCATTTCATCATAGATCATTTCCCAATATTTCTTTATAATTTTACAATCCCACCACATATGAAAAAAAAAGTCCCTTCTATTATGGCACTCATCTGTCTCAAAAGACAATGGAGTGCACTGCCGAAGGTCATATCGCTAGCGGAGCTTTCCCAACTTTTCATGTTGCTGACATGCATCATTTCGTGACAGTAATTCAGTTTTACTAGCAAACCAGAGGTTAAACTAACCCCTTTCCTGCCCCAGGATGAGCACGGCAAGCATTTGTGCAACACACCCACACACTGCAGCCAACACACTAACATATAGGCACACACTGCTTAGAAAGCTCTGCGCTAGGGAATCACAGCGCCAGCTGTGGCTGCAAAGACTGGTAACTCGTAACCGATGCCTCCCACATTGTTTGTGGTGCATTAGAAGCACCAAAGTGACTTCTCCAGAACGCAAACCTGGGCAGTGTGTATGGAGGTCCTGGGCTGCCCAGATGACAAGACCCTTCTCTCATCCTTGCTGATGTGGTTCAAAGGAAAGCAGAGCAATACATTTGGCACCAGCTTGGCTGCAGGAGTTGCCGGAAGGAGGCATGCAAGGTGCCATCCAACCATCTTAGGGACTCTGTTATGTACTGAAGTTCTCACCCTGGACCAGCAGGGTGGTACTGTAGATAGTTCTCATTCAGGTCCGCATATGCAAATAAGGAATTGAAAGTGACGTTCAGTGATTGGATAGTTACAGGAAGTTGTTACTGTTGCTTTGTAGTTGAGATCTATATAAGCAGGTTGGCTGAACCCTTCAGTTCAGTTCTGTTCTGGCCTGTGAATAAACAAGAGCTGTCTGAAGAATCGCTGTGTCATCTGATATGTTCACCCACAACTTAACAGGCTCCACTCCAGATTTGTGTAGGGTCTACTCCTTAGAGTTTTCTTCTCCTGAAGATGTCCCGCAAGGCATCAGATTGCTCCTCAGGGTTTGCTCCTGAAGCCTTTCTCACCAATAAATAGAGCTGCAAGGCAGAGGAGGGTCAGTTAGGATCAGAGTTTTCCTTCTCCTAGAAGACGGGCTACCTTCCTAGATGGACAAGCCCCACCTGCCCCTCTCCTCCACGGCCATCACTTCATAAAAACGTGTTTTGCAGATCGTATTCCATTCTATATTGTCTCCCTGCTTATTTAACTTATATGCAGAATTCATCATGCGAAAGGCTGGGCTGGATGAATCCCAAGCCAGAATTAAGATTGCCAGAAGAAATATCAACAACCTCAGATATGCAGATGACACAACCTTGATGGCAGAAAGTGAGGAGGAATTAAAGAACCTTTTAATGAGGGTGAAAGAGGAGAATGCAAAATATGGTCTGAAGCTCAACATAAAAAAAAACGAAGATCATGGCTACTGGGCCCATCACCTCCTGGCAAATAGAAGGGGAAGAAATGGAGGCAGTGAGAGATTTTACTTTCTTGGGCTCCATGATCACCGCAGATGGTGACAGCAGCCACGAAATTAAAAGACGCCTGATTCTTGGGAGAAGGGCAATGACAAACCTAGACAGCATCTTAAAAAGCAGAGACATCACCTTGCCAACAAAGGTCCGTATAGTTAAAGCCATGGTTTTCCCAGTAGTGATGTATGGGAGCGAGAGCTGGACCAAATAGAAGGCTGATCGCCAAAGAATTGATGCTTTTGAATTATGGTGTTGGAGGAGACTCTTGAGAGTCCCATGGACTGCAAGAAGATCAAGGAAGGAAATCAGCCCTGAGTGCTCACTGGAAGGACAGATCGTGATGTTGAGGCTCCAATACTTTGGCCACCTGATGAGAAGAGAAGACTCCCTGGAAAAGGCCCTGATGTTGGGAAAGATGGAGGGCACAAGGAGAAGGGGACGACAGAGGACGAGATGGTTGGACAGTGTTGTCGAAGCT